TCTTTGATATATATGTACTTAGAAGACATTGTTTACTTATTAACACCCAAATAACATTTATTTATTTTTTGAATTCTTAATTCAAACCCAATTAATAATTATTAATCATAAAGTAAAAGAGGAAAGTACAATAACTATTTTGAATCATTTCTCCTTTATTTAATGATTAATTATCATGAACTTAGTTACATATAAATAAATATATATATTTATTTATTTATATATTATAATTCACATAGAATGTAATGGTCTCGAAAATTTAAAAAAAAAAATGCATACAATAATTTAAGTGCGGAAGTAAAATAAAATTTAAGATTAACATCCCTTACACTAATTTAAAAGTACTAAACAAATATCACGAAATAAATTCTCTGAAAGAAATACGAAAAATTAAAAAAATAAAAGAAACTATAAAGTATCTAATATCTACTCGCAGCTTTCTTGCGGATCGGACTCAGAAACTAAGTCCTCTTGATCTGAAATGATTAAATAAGGGATGAGATATACTACTCCAGTAAGGACATCACACTATATCGCCGACACATAAGTAAAGGTATGTAGAAAACAAAACAAAAAAACCAATTGAGCACTAAATTTAAACTAATACATTCATTAAAAGTAAAATCATTTATCTTTTTACTTACCATTGGAGAATATGTGAAAACAACCTATAAAGACAATAACATCATACAGATCATAACTTAATGCACAATCAGTAACATAGAACATATCATAAATTTATACTCATTAACAATAACTAATCATCACCGTTTTTCGCTTCACCAGCCTACTAGTATCCATGGGGATCCATAGGGGTGTCCTCGCTACACATGAACTATTTTCCTTAACAATCTTAATTTCAGGGCCGTCTCCATACCTCGTCCGATATAAGCACCAAGACATTAAACCTCAATACCCTGTCTGGTATGAAAGTGAAGCGGATCGTCCTCATACCCCGTCCGGTATGAGCGCCAAATGACCAAGTCTCTACACCCCGTCCGGTATGAGACAACGTTCACGGTAGGGTTCTCTATGAACTCAGTCTGTCCACCATCTCTCAAGATATCTAGTGAGGTTGTCATCTTATCCATTTATCATATCACATCTCATTCCTATTTGTCCTTAGTCTCCGTCATCAAATTAAACATGAATACATAAACAAGTAACGTGCATCCAACAATGCAATCATATCTTAGATTCTCAAAATCAAACAGTAGTGAAATAAGCAGTGAACAGTAACGAGGGATCAATTTTAGATCGATTAAATAAAATTCAAATCGGACATACATTATTTTTGAATTTTATGATATTCTATATAATAGTATAGGCGTGCAAAATGTATTGGGGTTAAAAAAAAATACTCGTCTTTATATTTATAGTCTTATCTATTGTGATAAGAAGGCACTCTTAGTTCAGTTTGGTAGAACGTGGGTCTCCAAAACCCAATGTCTTAGGTTCAAATCCTACAGAGCGTGTGCATTTAAAACCATAGAATAGATAAACCAGATACCATAATGCAATTTAAACTGTAAAATAAATCAAACAGGAATCAACAAAAAATAACTTCAGTGCCTCTACCACCTGTCGTGCCCTAGTTGGTCAGAGCTATTGACCGGGCATCTGACATGGCGTAATTTTTTGAAATTACGTTTTGACCCCCGATTTTTAATTTTTCTTTCAAAAATATCCTCCAGAACTCAAATTTTCATCTATTGTTTTCAAAATTATTTTCAATTAAATCCTTAACTAATTTTTCACCCTTTTTATTATTATTTTTATTAAATCAAATTAAAATAAAATAAATTCAATTCAATTCGATTAATAAATAATTACATTTATAAAAAATAAAATAAATAAATAAATATTGGGTGTTACATAGAATCATTTAAATATTCCTAAAAATCCCACTATTCAAATTCATGGTTAAAAGCATTCAACATATATGTAAAAACAAAGCTTCATAATAATACAATGACACACACAAATAAGAAATTATAGAGACACTAAGAAATAAAATATTAAATTTTTTACAACCACACTAAAAACTATATCATCCTTGAACAAATTAAAAGATTAGATATAATTGTATTTTTAACAAAAACCAAACTTAAATCCTATTATAAGTAATATGACGCAAGACT